TTCTAATAACATTATGTTAAACTGGAAATTTAGTTCGATTCTGCTTATTTTGACCATAATGGACAAGTTTCTGCATCATATTCCTAATACTGTTGTTTTCATACTTTTTTGTATCAATTTTCATCTTTTAATAAAAATTTTAATCTAATTTAATAGCAGTGTAGATAATCAGGTGCTTAGTTCAACTTACAAATAATAGGGTTTAATTAAGAAAAAAATTGTAATAAGGAAAAACGTCACAACTATTCTTTAAGTACAAGACACAAAGAACAGACGTTAGTACGTTAAAAAACTACAATTCGCTCTCCTGGCTCAATGTATCTTTTTAACGAACTAACGCTTATTTTTTGCATCTCAAACACAGAAAACACACGAAGCCGTGATTCTTTGCATTTGAGTAAAGATAGTAGGACTTAAAGAAAAGACACTCGTGTGAAATAAATACAGAAATTATCATGCCCTTCTCAAAATTGTTCGGCTTGATTGATATAAGAATATGTAATTCATTGAACTATTGTATTCAGGATCTCACATAAGACAAGTCATCATTATGCACGCAGAGTTGTTTGTTTTGTGTCTATGAAGGATCAGAAGAATAAGACGACAACGATGATCAGCAGCCAACAGTGATGGTAATATTTCAATAACTTGTTATACTAGGTGATCTAGAAATAATGAAATTAAAGCAAAACAAAAGAGCAATAACTTAAAAGATATGGATTTATATGTCATTGATTTCTTATTGTTGTGTATTTACTAAATGTTGTAAAATTATTATTCAAATATTTTGTCGTGTTATACTCGACTTTTTTTGTTAACATAACATGCTTTCTTAGAGATGCTGTGAGTTGATATTTCAATTTCAACAACTCTCACTCTCAGTATATACTATAATTTACAAAAAAGAGCATAAAGACAAAGGAGTTCGTAAGTGGCCCTATGCAAGTCAGCATGTATGCTCCTGTCCAACATACATACCCTCTTCTGGCAGTGCAGTCTAAGTTTTCATCCGTTCATCACGGTTGGCCCAATTTGCAGTATCTAAATTTGACGTTTAGGAAAATGAACTTAATCAATCAATCAATCAATCAATCAATCAATCAATCAATCAAATTTCTGCACATGGTGTTGTCCGTCTTACTTTGACTTATAACACTAGTCTTCGTGCTTTCTTACTTTTTGCTAAAAGTTATTTCAACTGGAAACTAATATATGAAAAAAAATTAACAGTGATACTTTCTTTCGAAGCGGTTTTGTGAATTCACTTTTCACCAGAAACGACCAGAGTATTCATTTTTGAAAATCAACTTATTTTAAGCTTTATAAAAAAATGTTATTTATTTATTCCATAGGCTGTCTCATTTAACAGCAATTTTACAAATTGATATATACTCTATAAATAGCTTTTACTTATTTTTGTAAACTTTTAACGTTTTAATATAAATTGAGGTCTTATTGTAAATAGATTATTATAGCAGTAGATTTGCTGTACAAATCGTTTTAACAGCCTGTTCCGTTTTAAATTAGTGTTTACCGAATTTAACTTGTCAAATGGGTGTGCTCCAACTATCTTAGGATAAAAGAAGTTATTATTTGCTGTAGAAAATGACAGTGATTTGAATCGTTTTGTTGAACACCCTTATTCATTTTCAGTAGTGGTGTTAAATACAATTGAAAAATCCAAATCTTTTGTTGCCTTTGTTCATGCTTAATTTTGTTTTGCGGCAAAATCTAATTAAACAACAACCGTTAATTTTGTCACAATGAATTTAAATATACTGAACTGTATTAAAGAAAAATACATTGAAATATCTAAACAATCAGTTTTGGTAATTTAGCATTATGGATGTAATGTGAACCTAAACTATTAATTTCCTTATGTGTTTTAAAATTAACACACACGGAAGAGCAAATTCCAGGTATTCAAACCCCAAAAAAACGGAAATGATATGATGAGAAACTGAAATTGCAAGATGAACATTTATGGCATATTCTCATATATATTTTTGATATACTCCAGCATAACAGGTAGGTCGATTGATTACGAAAATATATTCAAATCCTTGATTAAATTATGTAAAGCTAATCCACGATAACGGCCGACGTTAATATTTATGAGAATACATCTCGATATGAGCCTCTCAAGTTCCAATTATTATGTTTTCTGTCTCTTCGCTCTAAAGATGCATGAACAGATATCGTTACTAACCAGTTTTACTATCGACATCAACATGTCCCGTTGTCGTTACTTTAGTCTGTCATAAATAAACGTTTTGAATGGGTATATGCCGAATTCCGAAACATAATATGAATATTTTTTAGTTGAAATAACTTCCTGTGGCTATAATCCAAAACATTATTTTTTCTTCGTTCGAATATTTCTTGCTTGGTTTATCTTTATTACCTCTTCTGTTAATTTCTTTGTTTAATTTTCTTATTCCCTTTCCTTTTAAAGAAAAAAATCTGTACTTGCAAATTTTTACGTTCGCTATCTAGAATTATTTAGCAAGTGCTCTCCTGGTTTATCAATTTACTACAGTCAAGTTTACGCTTTTTCTACATTCTATTAATCCGTTTATTTGAATGAGAGCATGGCTAATGTGCATTAATTCATGGCAAAACATCCAGACAATCAAGTTGTAAATCCAGAAGCAAATGAACAGCGTTTTTTTTTTACTGTTCTTTAACTCAAAGACACAGTGACTCCTTTAACACAGAGCAAAAGCTTGCAATATCACTGTAAGTAAAAGACGTTTCTTACAACCGTTTTACCAGATTTCACATATTTGTGGTTTTTCAACATAGCTGATACCAGGCATACAAAGGAGAACGATTCGCAATTGTTTACCTCATTGTGTGTTTGTTGCGTAATAAACCCAATGATATTAGAGTAAACACTACTATATAGAAAGCAGTAAGTTTGGCATTTTTATTGGTATTTACTAGTACGTGCATGTATCTCTTAAAAGCATTTGCAACTTCCAGTAATGGGTGTTTTATAGAAAACGAACATTCCATCTTATATTTTACCGATAGATATCACAAGAAAAAAATGTTTATAGAATATTTTTTTTATTCTCATTGAAAAAAAATCACATTGCAATACTTGAACAAACCTGAATCGTCCCCTTTTTAGAAATACAACATATTTCAAATTCCTGCATAAAAATGAATTCAGATTTAGTATTCCTACCCGACCAAGAGCTATGTTAATTATAACATCACTTGGCGTCCGTCATCAATACGTATACATTTTCACATTTTTATCTTCGTCTTAAAACAACTAAACAGAATTAGCACAGATTTTTCTCACAAGTGATCGTTTCTAATTTATGATTGGCTGAAGTACAAAATATGAGTAGGGCTTCATCTCAAGATCTTATACAGACATGGACACTTAATTTGTGAAAACTCCAATACGATTTAAAGGGTCCCAAAATGAAAACAATATCAGAAACCTTTTCTACAACCAACTGAAATCAAACTTGTCTGCTATGTTTCCGTGAAGGTCATCAATATGTGGTGTTACTTTGATGCTATTCTGAGAAATTTAGATTTCGCCAGCGACCAACGTCAAAATATCATTCTATTTGATATTTCAAAAATTACATTTTGCTTTACATTTCAAGAGCAAATGTAGTGAAGTGAAAACAATCCATTCAGAAATGTTTATAAGAAGCTCCTAATAAAAGGCCAATGTGGCTTAAATGGTCCAAACATGACCAATTACTTTGAGAATTGGATGCTGATGGCAGACCTTCATAACTCGTATAGAATTTGAACAATTTAGAGCTTAACGCATTGTATCTAGATACTTTTTTGTTGGTGAAGAATGTTAGTTGCCGTCTAGATAATTTTATGTAATTTTTTGTAGTTTGGTTGCTGTTTTTATTGACGTTTGCTCCCAATTTCCTTATTTTTACTCTGAACCAAATAAACCAGCTTGGTCATATAAGTTCAATATTATATTACTTTGTTTATTATTAAAATGTTATACAACGTATACAAGTAATGTATTTGCTTTTTTGGAATAACAAATCCAGGTAAGCGATTCAGGAAGCATGTGTTTTATTCTCTTTCTGTTTAATTTATCTCTCCAAAAGTGAAAGAATTGTAAATATATCGTAAGCCATTTTTATATCAGTGTACGACATCGTTTGCCAACTCTTCGTCAAATGACAATTGGTAACACATGCGAAAAATGGAAGACGATACAAAGGGGACAATTAGAAATAATTGGTCGCAGAAGAACAAATAATACCATGGCTAAAAAGTAAAATGACGAGCAAACAAATAGCAGTCCAAAATACTTCACAGAAATGTGAGCGTTACGAACGTTATCAAAAACCATGAGTGATCTCGTGTACTCCGTAAAGGTAAGCAGTAATATTGTGACTACATTTATATCGGTTCCTTAAACTTTAATGACAACGATTTATTTTTGCCCAATTTCAGATAAATTTACAGCGGATGCTAATGTTTTTCTGAATCCAGTTTCTCCAGCATACGCCGATCTTAATCAACCTATTACATTGTTATGTAAGACAAATGAAACTGACGTCTGGAAGAGTACTTCTATTTATGACGAAACAAATTCAAATGGAGTTCCAAATGTGTTATATTTTGAGAAAGCGGTTGATGGTACATGCCGCATATTAATTTCAGATTCACGATTGTACAATGCATCTTGTGATTTAACTATCGGAGAGTTCAATGTGACTTTAATTTCCGTAGAAAGAAGGTATCACAATAAGTTCATAAGATGTAGTGTAACCTTTGCCAGTGGAGCTTCATTACTAATTGAGACTGCAAGCACAGTGATATCCATCAAAGGTAGAATTGATTTTTCACAGTACATTTTTCGGTCTCACCGTATCGAAACAAAAACTGCATTTTTTACATATATGAATTCTTGAAGACTTTCTTCGGTATGTTGGTTTAAGTACACCATCGAATATGATATACATGCATAATTGTCAAAAACAATTTTGTAAAGCAAAATGTATGGTAGGGCTACTTTTTTTGCCCCTGAATTCGGAAATCAAAAGTATTGTAAATCAGCCAAATAGCATCCTTCATATGTTCATATGTTCATGAGTCATTAGTCTGTCAGACATTAGGATTATTACTTTTGAATTGTATGCTTTGCACTTTTGCATTTCTTCATCAAACTTCTTGCATTTAGTGCAAAATTGCAAAAACTGTATTATTAGTCGCATATTTTACCAAAATACTTAATTGTTTTCAATATCTCGTTGGGTAAGGTCTTGGTTCATATCTATTCGATCAAAAACTATGCGTTAAATGCAAAGTTAAAAAAACCAACAGTTTTGACATGCTAATTACGTCTTAGTTACGTAACAAGTCACCTTTCTGCTATACGTGTCCGCTATATATCAATCTGTTTATTCATGAATAAAATTAACATACTCACAGATAGTCTGTGTTAATTTGATTCACAACTATTTAGCCTCGGTGCAATTTAGACCTTGGCATATTGTATAGACACCTGTTTATTTGTGAATACATAATGGCTACCTCTTGATGTCTTTTGGTTATTTGCATCGTTGCGTTTCTGTTTCATTAAGTAAAAACAAAGCCTGATAGATTGCCTACCAAAGAACGTTTTTTAAGGTTTTCATTTAGCATTGTGAACTCATTACAAACGTTTGGATTGTTACTCAAAGAATTTGTTAAGGCACTGTGAAAGCAACTTTCTGCCATATTAATAGTATTTCTAAGAAAAGGTAATCCCTTAAAAGTGTATTTATTTCCTATTGCAGAGGCACCATCTGATACAATTTCTTTAACAGAAAATCCTAAAGGACCAATCAACACTGGTGAGACATTGCATGTAACGTGTTCTGTATCTGGTGGTAATCCATTAGCCACTATAACATGGAATTGTAGTGGCACTACTGTCAAAAAATCTTTCGACAAGGTCGCTTTGTTGAATATATCATTCACAGTTGGAAAACAAGACGATGGAGTTAGATGCACATGCTATGCCAGCCACATCATAGCGACGTATAACGCTACAGCTGAAAAAGTTATCATTATAGAAGTGTATTGTAAGTTTTATCAGCACAAATTGAAAAAAAAATGAAAAGCATGTTCAGGTCTTATCAGCCTTTAGAATATGAATTATTTATGTACACTTTATACATTGATACAATGTTAAGGCGAGTTGGAATTGCTGATATAAATTATTTTTTCAATTTAATGCAGTGTTTGCATATTTGCAGAATTAAAAAAAAAATAGTATTTAGGCTGTGCCAATATGTGACACTGAACGTATATGATAACAAAAAGTAAATTCAGAAATGATCGTCAAACGCAGTTTAATTACTTATTAGCAGGTAAAAGAGAGGCGAAAAATACCAAAAAGACAGTCAAACTGATAATTTGAAAACAAACTGACAATGCCATGGCAAAACACAAAAAACGACGAAAAGACAAACAATAGTACACAAAAAACAACATGAAAAACTAAAGACTGAGCAACACGAACCTTTCCAAAAACAATGACATACTAGTAATAGATTTTTGTCAATGGCACTGGTTGTTTCCTAGATCCACCAGACAGTCAGCCTACAATACAGCAAATAATACCTGGTCCAGTTGATTCAGGAAGCTCCGTATCACTGAATTACTCACTTTCCGGAGGTAATCCCTTAGCTTCACTCTCTTGGGACTGTAAAGGAACAACACACAATTCATCGTCCAGCACTAAAACAGAGTACATTGTAACGTTCACAGTAAACAAGAACTTTGATGGCAGAGTTTGCACCTGCTCTGCAACACATCCTATTGATTCTTATAGACCGATTGCACAGCACCAGTTGATTGTGTTTTGTAAGTAGTGAAACAAGCAAAATACTAATAGGGGAATTAATTCATTCATCGGATATCTTAACTGTCTATGGATAAATGAGAGATTTGTTATATTCCATAAACATATAAGTTCTACATGATCAATTTGATATTTTCTGAGTCGATTGTGATATTCATACGAAATATATTTCATACGTAAACTTTCTGAATACAAACAGAAATTCTAACAATTTCATTAATTTCACGTTCAGATATCTTGATGTTGTCCTGTTACGCAATAATCTGCATTGAAGCAAGTGCTGGCATGTCATATATATATTCCGGTAAACACGACATTATAATTCTACCGAAAAACGTAAAAGTCTGTTTCAAATCGGACTAATTTTGTTGAAATTGACACTAATGGACAACTTCAAAATAGGACCCATGGCAAATGGAACAATTTCAGTGTATTTCATTGTAATTTTCAATTCCTTAGCAATTGTTTACAAGCTTTATATCGCGATATAATTTATAAAGTGAACAAGAGTATTTAGATTGTATTAATAAAAAATGAAAAAAAAATTCCAAATTCATTTTAAAAAGAGTCCATAAAATCTGACAAAACCAAACGCTAGACTATAACAATCAACGGAACGACTGAAAGACAACCGTCATATTTCGAACTTGGTGTAGGCATTTTTCGTAGAAAATAGGGAGAAATGAGGGGGGGAAAGGGGGGTTAATCTGGTTTTATATCTAGCTATACCTCCTATTTGCGAGATTTATACGTGACAAACAATCGTTGAAACTTATAAAGGGAATTGAACATAATCATGTCTTCCTGCACTCAATTATACGAGGAACTTGGCAATCGCTGATATATGTTCCACTAAGCTGATCAAAGATACTAGGCTTAGACTTAAGTCTCCTGTGGTTGTATTCGTTTATATCTACATGTTTTTGTCCTGAACGGAATAGTTATTGGTGCCAGGATTTTTTTTTGGTTCAATTTATTTACAACTTTTAGAGCTGGATGTATCGTATAGACCTTGATGATCTAAATAATTATCATCTAAGTGATAGCGACGTGATATAGAAACTGATCTGGACCCGAGTCTAGTTTTCCTTATTTTTCTACCGCAAAATTTGCCTTTACTATGTTTCCACAAAGAAACACACCAAATATTCTCTTTGCATCTTCTTCCATTCGTATTATATATATTACAGATGAACCAGGTGAACCAAAGTTAATTTTAGGAGAAGGATTTCCGTGGTTTGTAGGAAACACAATAACAGTTAACTGTTCAGCTGATGCTGGTAATCCGTGGGAAGCAGTGTACAAATGGATGATAGGTGGACAGATACTGATGGAAAACAAGTGTATTATACAAATTGGACCAATGTCATTTGAACACAATAAGCAGGAACTAGGCTGTTCGGTTAACAACAATTACACATTGAGGAACGACATTACATTGAAACCTGCATTTTTGAAACTGAACATTGAATGTAAGTTGTTATAGTCTTGTTCTCCACCTTTACCTTTTCTGGAGTTTAATCCGTACATGAAATTCTAAACGATTTCTAGAGACCAAATAAGCTGCATTTATTGCATTTATTATTACGATCAATGATGAAAAAGAGCTAGACAAGTTTTTAAAGGAATTTATTTTGGTAATACTAGTACTCCTTTGATTAAATATACAACACTCATACCACATCTTCTTATATCTAAATGGTGAAATTTTGTGATTGCTAAGATAACGTTTCTATAACTAGACTTCATATGCTTCTCAATTGAATTGTTGTATATTTTGCATGTCGGGGCCTTTTATAGCCGACTATACGGTAAGGGTTTTTTCTCTCATTGTTGAAGGCCGTACAATTGCCTATAATTGCTTACATCCACTTGATTTGAACTTTGGTGGATAGTTGTCTCATTGGCAATCCTACCACATCTCCTTATTTTCATACTTATAATCAATTTAATTACAATAATGAATTGACAGAAGTTTAAAAATGTTCAAACAGCTATCACAGACCATTATCGAGAATTTGTATGGGCATACGTACCATAGAAAATGAAAGTTGAAATGGGATAAGCAAATTGATAGAAAAACATGAATAAGAAAAACCAAACAAGAGAAGTTCCTTCTGTTTCTAGATTATATGCTCCATTAACTCCCAAAAACCGACGTAAATGCTTTGTGTACTGTTGTTTGTCTTTTTGTCGTTTTTCGATTTTTGCCATGACATTGTGAGTTTGTTTTTGACTTATGAGTTTGAATACCCCTTTGGTATCTTTAGCCTCTCTTCTACAAAATTAATTCAAATTCATTGGAAATGTATTTCTTTACTTCTTTAATCATTTCACTTAAGAACTTTCTAGAGAGTGAACAATAAAATATTGGATATTGTCATAACAAAGAGAAAAACTGTTCAGATCATTAATGTTACTAGTAAAAGATTATTTTTGGAAGAATTTATTTTATTCAAGTAATAAGATGATGACGTACTCTTGAATTTTTAGCAAATTTTAATGTATTAAATAAATTGTAGATTATCCTGAGATTAAATTCGACAGATTCCCAGTATATGCAATAGAAGGCAAAAATACTTCGATTACTTGCAACACACACGGCAATCCTCTTTCGAACACTCAATGGGTAACCAATGGTATAGAAATGACACAACAACAGCAAAACCAGTCGGTATTATATCTATCCGACATCAATCGACTTGATGAGAAAAAAAATTATACATGTAGAGCTATTTCCAATAGTTCCAAATATGGCATATTGACAACAAATAAAGATTTAAGTATAGTTGTTTTCTGTAAGTATGCAATAATAAATAAATGATTTTCTGTATCATTGTATGACACAAAATCACTACACAAACATAAATTGAAATAGATGTAAAAAGAAAAAAAACCCACTCAAATCACCGTAATTGGAACATCTGCTCATAGCACATATATGAGCGGAACTATTTTAGATGTCGATTCTTTGAATTGAAGATCACATATACGTGCAATAAATGATCACATTATTGTAAAACATGTATTATGTAGTCACTTCATTAACATTGGTATGTGATGTTTTGCATACTTCAGAATATGTCTATTGGTTATTTGCTCAAAGAATGACAACACATAAAATTATGAAACGTAACGTTTTAAAACAAGTTTGCAACATGATCATATCACACGACTTTCAAGTTAAAAAAAGATAGAAAATGAAATTATATAGGGGTGACTGTTTTGCTAGTCTTTTCTCTCTCTTGTTTTGCACGCCCACAATGTTTTAAAAACATGTCTATCAAAGCAAACGAAAAGTTTTTAAAAATTTTTAAGGAACTAGTCTCGCAATATTGTAACATTCTTTGAAAATTCCAATACACACGGCTGCTGAGTATTCAAGGTCGCATTTTTTATGAAGTAAATATTGATATGTTGATATGTTTTGCCATATTAGATACATTATTTTCCAAAATCTTTTAGTCTATCGAAAGAATAAAATCAAAATAATTTGTATCAAGAACCATTAAAAAATCTAAATATGCATTTTTTCCTTCTCCGAAAGTGTCATTAAAGTGGAGTGACATATCCGTAATCTATTCGGATTGCAAATAAAATATGCCAGCTTTTGATCTAGCACTATAAAATCAAGCCATGGGTGTTCGCCTATTTTAAAACAGGAGTCATTTTTCATCGTCAAATATTACATTTTGCTGGTATTGCTGAAAAATGGCCGACTTAATATTAAAGAAAACATATTCAGTCGTCAAAGATTGAAACAGTAGTAAGTCATACACATTTTCATCTGGCCTCGAGCGCAATGCACAGGATGTAAGTTCAGGCTGAAATCCAGTTGAAATGACAAAAAAAAAAGGAAAACTTTATTAGAGAAGTTAATTAGGCCAAGTTATATTTGGTCTGTTTACTACAACTGTTTCTATAGCCATTTAAAATTTGAAGTAGGTAGATAATTTAGAATTTATCTCATAAACTTGTTTATACGCAAATTATTTATGTAGCTAAGAGATCTAAAAACAAACGTTTGAATTAAAGACAATTTTCAAAAAGTAGTCTATTATGTTAGGTTCAAATATCTTTGGATCTTAAAGATGCATAGGCAAAAAAAACTAAAATAACACTTTATAATTTTTTATTCGCACGAAGCGCTGTTTCTAGATTTACTTTCATCAGGAACACTCAAAGAAGATATTTGAAAACCAAGAACGTAAAAGAATCGAAACGGTTGAAGAGCTATATGACCAAAAAATACCTATCGCATAGTCAAATTCATATAAGATCAACTTTGTACCACACAATGAAATATATTGGTTAAGTGAAATACCTTTGTAGTTAGACACCCAAGATATTAGGTGTGTTTGAATAACAAATATGTTTCGTGCTTCTAAAAATGCTAAAACTTTAAGTGTATTTCCTACTGTTGTTTCTTTTATAAATTTTCGTTCACTCAATTTTTAATTAAAATTTAGTTATATTTATTAATTATTCCATTCTTACAATGTACTTAAAAAATTAAGAAAAGTCGGCCACACAGTTCACTAACAACCCCTTTCATTTTTACCAAAACCCATTGACGACAGACTACTTTAAGCAAAAAATCATTTTTATGTTATTTAGGGTAATGAGTCTTCAACCTCTGAAACTATTTGTAGTCTGTCCTTCCACGAAATATTTAAATAGTTTTTTTTAGTGGTGTTTTGTTTCAATTGAATATTCCCCCACCTGACAACCAATCAGACGATAAATTAAGTTGGCAAAATGCCTAAAAGTACAATAAATGATACTTAATAGTTAGTTGAATAATTTTTCTTAGACAAAAAAAAAACAAATTCCATATAAGGATCGTAAAGACCTATGTGAATTAACTTGACGATTTTCAAGAGTTAAATTAACAGCGTGTCATCCCAACTATAACTTCCATTTTCATAATTTAAAAATTAGGTGGTGTACTCAGTATTGAGAAGATAATTTTGACAAAGTAGAATTCTGACTGCGTTTTTGTAATTTCTTGAAATTTACTTTTTTTGTATTCATTCCATACACATGTAATAACGGAGAAAATATGTGATAACTACAATCTTTTTTGTAGTTATTATAGTAAAGAAAACATAAGAACCAATGAAATAATAGATTTGGAGTATCATTTACGAGAAAGAATTCGTTTAATTTTTGAAACCACTAAATCATTTGTATTTGTTGATAAAAATGATGCGCTCCATTTTACGTAAACAAACTTGTCTTGCTTTTTGTCTCGCCTTGACTTAGATATGTTGATTTTGTCGGCGTTGGTTGTGTCGGTGGCGTCAACAATTTGTTAAAGTTATAGTTTACATGTTAAAGTTTGTGATGGCGTCAGTTAAGGCAAAAATATATGGTATGCAGTTGATTAAACATTGGCACATCTCATTTCCATGGATATTATTTGGTCTTGCCCCTCATTCATAGTCTGTCGACTTTGAAACTTTTGCACAGTTTACATGTTGAAGTTTGTGATTATATTAGTTTGAGAAGAACACCTTATGATAAGTTAATGATATTTGGTGTGCCGTTGTATAAGCATTGGCACATCTCATTTCATGGAGATTTTTCGGTTAAAATTCCACAGTCATGGTCAATTGACGTTTAAAAAATTGCATAGTTCAAATATAAAGTGTTTTTTGAAAAGATGCACTCGATTCGACATAAATAAAATTAAACAATTTTTGAATATATGTGTTTGAAAACGGAGTTGGTATTGAAGTTATATCTTCTATTTAATATATGAAAAAAGTCATTAAAACACTCTGATTTAAGCTCTAAATCAAATTATCTATTTACATACTACAATGATAAAAAACGGCAAAAAGGTTCGTTTCGTCGAGTATCGTCAGTTTAAAAGAAAGCTCTATTACGACTTATTTAGTTCAGAAAGATACATAGTTGTTTTTGACATTATTTTTACAAAATAAACAGTGAGTCAGACATTGTACTAGTTATACAGAATATAATAAAGGTTACCAATGAGATTCCTTTTTTCAGATAACACAAGTGTAACCAAACTTGAAATTTTAAATGGTTCGACATTTTCTGAAAACCAAAGAGCAATATTGCGATGTCAGGTTACTGGAAATCCACTACCAAACGTAACTTGGTATTTCATATCAAATGAAACAAAAACGATACTACAAAGACAAGACGGGATTGTCGACAGCAGTTATACCATCAACACTACTAACTGTCTTCATACAGGAATATATGAATGCTCAACTCAAAATACAGTTCATTGGACGAAAGTAACGAATAGTAAACAATCCGAGCTTTATGTTACATGTAAGTACCTTGAAAATATGATTTTTCTCATTATGTTATTTTTGATCTGTGTGCTGCAAAAAATTAATATAATAATGATAATGATAATAATGATAATAGTGATAATAATAATAATAATAATAATGATGATAATGATGTTCAAATTTGATTAAAACTTGTTTTTCATATCTTCCATTCACAAATGCCCTACGTGTGAGACCTCAATGGTACAAGCAGAAGTATGATAACAATTTAGGATATCTTATTTCAGGTGCACCACGTTTAGATAATCGTTACAGAAACCTTCAAGCCATAGTGACCGCTGACATTGGTACTGATTTGAATCTAACAATATTTATTGTTGCCTATCCACCACCTGAGATTCGTTGGGTGTTTACCAATACAATAAAATATAAAAACTTCAAACGGACCACCAGAACATACACCTCTACCATGTATATTAATAATATTTCAAGCTCGGATTTGGGGATTTATACGATGCATGCATATAATAACAAGGGTGATTTATTCATTCATTCATCTGTTTCAGAAAAAGGTAAATTGATTTAGTCATTATTTAAAAAATCAAAATGACATTCATATCATGGATGATAAAAAATGCAAACAAAAAATTCATTAAAAAGATGAAGTTCCAGGTTTTTATTTTTCACTCGAAGGGCATGTTAAAAATCGCAGCTAATAATGTTTTCTTTGGCACACCATAAAAAGTGCTCACACTTTAGTAATCTATGTAGTGTATTATTTGACTTTTACTCGTTTTCCGTTTTTTGTTATGACGTTGTCCGTTTGTCTTCGACTTATTAATTTTGAATGTCCCCTTTGTATCTTCTGTCTCTTTTTTATGCATTAAATTCGTTGAAATGGAAATGTATGTCGTAGATGGTAGACACAGTTTACACTTGATTACGTTTAAAATTAGTACAATGTATATAGCTATAAGAAGATGTGGTATGAGTGCCAATGAGACAACTCTCAATCCAAGACACAATTTGTAAAAGTAAACGTTATTTGTTTGTACAGGTCAAACATTCATACACACACTTTAAGATTAATCTAAGAGTTTGCATTATTGACAACCGTTTTTAACTACAGTTGTATAAACACCACAAGCTCTTCGGCAGAGTATAATATGACAGTTATGCGGTCAATTTCGTCGTCAAACATTACAATCAATCAACATCAGTAACGTAATTAATTTTTGGAGCTTTCCCAAGACCGTCAATATATAGTACGAAAGTTGTATACAAATGTTCAACACATATCTCTTCAGTTCATGTATAAAACACATCAATAGGATGTTAAATAATGGAAACCACAAGAACATTAAACAAACTCAAACCGGTTAGCATCTCTAGGTAAACGTTTTTTACAAGTTGCATGATTTACAGTCATATCTCATCACACCTATGAGTAATTGTTCACGCAAAGAACATGCCTTTTGGAGTATTTCGTTATCCATGATATTCTAAAAGTCACTTATATTTCTAGAACAACAGATATTTTAACGATCAACTAATACATAAGGGGGACAAACTTATGATGTAAAAGTCCCCGCCTTTCGTCCTGGTAAAATGCTTGATGTGTAGATATATTCCAGAGTATAATTCTGTTTACGTTGTGAAAACTATCTCTTAAGGTTTCTTACCCACCTCCAAACAATTATGGGAGTGAAATCAAAATACTAGTAAACTAATCGGATGAACAAACATTATCTCGATTAACAGTGCCGTTCAATCTCCTGCTTTGCATCTATCATTCTTCTCACAATTCTTGTAAATTGACCTTGCAACTTACAGTAAAAATTACAGTCAATTGTTCTTATAACCTTACCTCTTTTAGTAAATTACCATAATAGAAACAAGCTGTGGTTGATCTATTGAACAAAGAATCTGTAACACCAAAGGGTTGAGTATATGATGTGTATCTACTCAATAGTGTAAAGGGAAGTCGAAGACGCATAATTTAGATGAACGTATCTTACCGAGGAAATTTTATTGTTGCTTTTAAATATTTTTATGTAGTATGCGGCTATAACAAAAATTGGTACCAAGGGTTCCTTTCAAATCTTATTTGAGAATGGTTTCCTTAAATCTATGGACAATGCTATATGTTTATCTCAATAATTTTTTTTTAAGGTAGATCGGGTTTTCTGAGCATACCCTCTGGTCATGTTGCAAAAATACTCTTTTGGTTTAAAAATATTTCACAAAGTATCATTCAATATACAACAAAAGCATCTAGAACTTAAAATTGAATGATTAAACTATCACAAAAATAAGTGTCGTTAAGTGAATTTGAAATTTTCAGAAAAAAATCCTATTAAAATCAATGGTAGATAATTATATTGAATGTGATAGGACAATATGAATTTTTTTTTATTTTTCAAAAAAAAAAAAACGACCTATGCTTCATAAAGAAATTTTAACTCAGTTCTTTACTTGAATGAGATTACTTTTTTAAAGGAACACCTACAGCACCTATAGATATTAATATCATATGTAAGGCAAAGTCTCTGCATATTTTATGGGTGTCTGAATTCAATGGTGGACGAGAACAAACATTCTTTGTCGAGTATTGGATTTCTCAAAAGGCAAAAAACGTCACTAAATCGGGACCAATAGTGGATCTTGGGAAATCAAAAACTGTTAAATACGTCGTAAAAGGAATATTGCCAGGAACAAATTACAGCGTTCGAATCTCAGCCTCTAATTTCAAAGGTAGATCGGTATCAGAAACGATGAATTGCATCACTGATTTTGAACGTAAGTTGTTTCTAATTTGTTTACCCTTGTATTTATATTTACTCAATTTTTACTTCATCAAGGTATGTACAATCAACGTCACAAACATTTTGTTGTTGACGTCATTGTCAAATATAATATCTACTCGTGTCTGGCGTACAAAATGTTTTACCCTTGTGTCTGGGATGAGTTTATCAGCACCTTGTTTGTTGGTGTCTTTGTTAGATTAATTTGTATGTTTGTTTGAATTTTGTAGCCAGTTTTGATTTCATGGTTCTAACTATTGTCACATTAACATATTAGGTTTGCTTGGGTTGCTCACCCAATTTTGTCAATATACCGAAACTATAAACAAATGTCATACAAGTGGTAGGTGTAGCTAGCTATAGACCCAGGTTAAACCCACAATTTTCTTCAGAAAATGCATGTACCAAGTCAGGAATATAGCAATTGGTTTACAGTTGTTCCGTTGATTGATAGCGTTTTGATTGGACAGTTTTTATAAATTTCCTCTTCTTGAATTTACCTTGGAGTTCAGTATTTTTGTTATACTCTTTTCATAGTTAATGAATATTTTTCTAGGAACACCTTCTTTCAAATCGGTATCTTACTTGCATCTACTACTATCATGACTACTGGATCCGTAATGCTTAAGTTACCGAGGGTATAATCCGAATAATGCTGTACAGTAATGGTATTTTGGAGAAAAAAAACGGGTTTGTCCTTAGAACTAAGACTTCGGTCGTTCTATTAAGGATCCCTTTTGTTGTAAGCTACCATATCATCTCTTGTATATGTTGCTTCCCAAATGTTTGGTCTCAAATGTATCTTACGAAGCTTTTTCAGGAGAAAACATACGAGTAGTGCGGTTCCAAATCGTTATCATGATTTTATTATACAAAACGACTTTAAAAGTAAAATTAGTTATATCATGAATGAATAGGCTTTACAATCGAGGTACTTATTCGAAAAAAGAAACTTGATTGCTATCAAATCTGAATAAGAATGAACCAGGTTAAAATATTTAGGAGCAATGTTTGAGATATCAAGGAGAAACCAATCGGCTGAAACACGTAAAAAAGTGAACCTAACTTTCTCTTTGTGATAAGAGTAACATGAGTAATGCCTGTTTCAGGATTTGTTCTCATACTACTATTGCTGGGCAAAGATTTTTAATACTTTTAAAAAATAAATCTTTTATCTTTCCATGGATTATGTTACAGTTGAATGTATGCTTATGCATATTCAAGATCCCAAAATATTTACGCCTACCGAATTTTCTGCTTTGTGAAAGCTTGCCCTTAGTTTGAAAGATTTCATATTTCCAGTAGCTCCATACTACAATTGGAGTATTAGATAAGTTCATAAGATGCAACAGATATTGAAATATATTTTTTTGAAGTCAACATTTTTTTACAGTCAACTTTAAAATAAAACAAGATGCAAGCAATGGTTTTGTGTATACTGGTATTGCCATGCTTAGTATTAGTACAACTCTTATTGTAGCCATCTCCATAATATTTTTTATACGTAAGTAGTAATAAATTAAGTAGCAAAATCTAATTTTCAAAACATATACATTATATACAAATAGGGAAATGTGGTATGATTGGCAATTATACCAATAACTAAGTACCACGATGTACATAAATATAGATAGCAAACAAAAATACACCCTGGCATGACAAAATGGGAAACAATTCACAAATTAAAACCAACGGCTTTATTTATACTAAAACGATACACAAGAAACAAATTAACCAACGGCAATCACATTTTAAGTACTTTAATATCCCCTTAATTGGGACAATGGTGTAACAGATCAATAGAAGAATAAACTGTAAAAATCATTAAGAAGGAGCTTGATTCATATGACCAGCACAAAAAAACACAAATACAAAGGTATTACAAGATAACTACCATCAACACAAAATATTACCATGTGACGTAAAACTATCAGTTACCAAACGCCAGTTCAAAGCATTTTTCGACTTATAAAGGTTTGAATGTAAAGACGTCATATTTTTTTTTAATTGTATAGCAAAACATATTTAGTCACATGTCAAAGCAAGCTGAACATTATTACCGATGTACTAAATATTTTAAGAGCGTATTACAAGGTTCACTTGATGAACTTTAAGAACTAAGTATATTCAATTGAAATATAAGAGAGCATGCACCGATAGAAAATAAAAATTTATAAAATCAGTCTTATATCATATTAAACAATAATCAATATATATCAATGATAATAAACTGTTGAAACATCGTTAGTGGGTGTTCTACGTCATATGGTAATATTACTTAAATGATTTGATTAATTTGATGTTGATGGTAAATATCTTATTCACGTTATCAATTGACTGATGGAGTTGCAACCATAGTGTTTGTAATATTTATAAGATTTATCGATTAAATAGACATGTATGTATACAAAAAAGAGCAATACAAGAAATGTTTAGAGTATGGGAAGTCTCAATTTAATGATAAACTCCAAGTAACAATAAGGAGTTCAACATTTCGCTAAAACTCAATTTATGTGAACTTTGCCGAATGATTAACAAGAAAGAAAACATGTATTTACTATTTATATATGATTCAGTGAATGGTTAAAGTGTTTTCCTTTATACATGTTTTCTTATTTTTATATTGTTTTAGGGTTTAAAAAAAATGCACTTAAATCAATGTAAGTATAACCAAAGTCTGTATTTATTTGTAAATATTAAAAATGTTCTGCTTATTAAATATATTACTCAATAAAAAAAAGGAAAACACCGGTGAAAACAAATATCCATTTCATTAAAATATTTATTCATGCTACTCAATTCTACATTTCCCTCCACTGGCTTCATTCGGAACACTAAACACTGAATTGCGTTTAAGACAGAATTCAGAAAGGAGGTATCATTATTGTGTATAGACTTTAAATTAATGCAAAGTTAAGAAAAGTAACACCTTGAAAGGAAAATAAATGTCTGTTATCGATGATATATCTCGTATTCACTACAGAGTCGTACTACTCAGTTAGAATACTTTCCTCTCTTAAGCTTCCCACAGATTTTTATACTGTATTTGGATTAACATTGAAATACTACCATCATACATTCCTATATGTCGGTGTCAGCCTTTAAAAAAACATATATTCACATACTTATCTTCGTTCCTAGCGTTTGTTTTGAATATTCGTAAAAGGACAAAAATATTTATAATTTTGTGCATCAGGATTACTTTTCTGTATTTACATTTATTTAACACTGAACACGAATCTGATGAAAATAAAATTAAATGAAAAGCAATGATGTATAAACAATTGAATTCGTGAGGAGGTTAATTACTAAATGAAACATGCAATAGTCAAATTTATCTGAGGTATACTTTGGCTGGATAATTGGAACTTTAGTTTCTTTTTAATTTCTAAATCTATTAAGGGAAAGGGTATGTTAATGTTGTACTTAAGGAATATTTTTTGAACATACCAGCATTGAGTCAGTAGTTTATGTCAATCTTATTGATTCATGTTAACAAGCATGTGACGTTTCACAATATGTAAGGGTGTTAAAAAGATGATGTAACTTTTATATACAGAACAACCGCGGCCATGCCTAACTTTATTGCATTTATCATCCTTTGTCATTTAGACAATAAGCAATTAAGTGGTTTTTCGTAAGCTTTCCAAACATGTCATACAAGCCACCCATTCCTTATGAGACAAACAATATAAAGATTAAATAATAATTATAAAAGTACTTCTTTTTTTTATTTTAAGAAGGAATAGTACAAATGACAAATCCTCAGGTCAAGAGAGACATGATTCACTTGAATCATTTGCACAAGGTAGGTAAAATGTAATTAAACCCTTCCACTCATTGGAAGTATTTTCGATTCTACTAATACATAATTCTGCGTATTTGATTGACACCGTCCCCCCTCCACCCAAATAAAAAAAGAAGAAAAAAACTTTGAAAAACTTTTGAGTCTATTTGGTTACTATTGTAATTATCGAGTGACTGAATATTCAATAGCTTAACTCTTTGACTCATTTGAGTTTTTAAATGTGTTCGTCATGTGAATTTCACTATCAACCAACTTATTAGGTAAATAAATGATATTTCGTTTACAGATGGCGTTGAAGAGACAACTACAGAAAGGTAAATAATAACAAATCTCGCAATGTCTTTGTTTAATTCTCTTGTTTTACCAAACGGTTATTTATTCATAAAAAACATTTTCTGCAGCAAATTACACGTAAAAAGTATATAATGACAAAGAAATTTTGAGAACGCGATTATCTTCAGTTAAGGTAGATTAACTGTATTCCGCCATCTTGGGTTGAAAAATAGCAGTACACAATCGGTCTAGTCCTTTGCTTAAATCTGCAAATTTTAAGACAGATTGACAATTAATGTGTAAGACTGTTTATTCAAATGAAGAAAAATAAGTGATTCATTGCATTTATTTGGACTGTTTTAATAAACATCAAATATTTGTTGTTGTTTGATTCAATTTTGCAACTTATGTGTGTTTACACAATATATGAAGCACATATTAAGTGATTCAAGTCTTCAAAAGAAGTTATTCAGTGGAAAATATTACATAACCGGAATGCAACCACACATTGAAAGTGTCAAAATCTGGAATTAGTGTAATGTGATATATTTAAAGAATAATAGAACCATGTACAAAGGAATTGCGATTTAAAATAATTTGGAATTGTGCAAAAAAGAAGATGAAAACATATATAAAAGTATTTCCATTATTGACTAATTAACAATCCGAGTAACATTTGATGAATAATTAATATAATATGCTTAAGTAACAGCTTTAGAATTTGTGATATATAAGTTTTGCATTTCTTGTACAAGATGAACAAAATAGGTTTACATGTATTCATTTGTATGATAACCAGTGTGTATCAAAAAAACATGTCCAATAGTCTTTGCCTTTATAAATATTATCAGTAAATGCAAGAAAAACTTTTATTAATTCTTTAAATTATATCAAAATTAAAAATTTTATTCTTTAAAATAATGGACTGCTAGACAAAAGATATGATACGTTGACTATTAAATGATTGGCCACGTATTGATAAATTGTTTGACTTTTCAATCGTAATACGTAAAACATATATTTTGCAGTACCCCCAATATCGGCGATACCGGGACAGGTAAATTTTACCTTTTTAAAATCAGAATTTTGTTCTTAATATTTGTCAGTAATTAATCAGCAAAGTAAGAGTAATCAGTTTTACCTATAAATAAAAGAGACAGACACGGATTGTAAAATACATGTAACATTTTCAAGCAGTAACAGGATCAAAAGAAAAGTGAGAGAGTTAAAATTGACTTATATAACTTGAAATATCATATGCAGTGTATCTATGATTCCCAGTGAAATACAATCCAATTTTGAATTTAACGAAGGATAAGAAAAACATTGACTACATTTGATAAAATTATACTCTTTTTCATTCTTGGAATGCATTATAGATATGGACAACGACTTAGTTGCACACAGGTAATACATACAATATTCTAAAAACTTTTGAAAGAAAAATCTATGTATAATTGCAATAAAAACATAGAAAAAACATCAAAATAAAAAAAAAAAGAAACAGAAAAAATTATTTCAAACAGTACTTTTGAAACTGACATCATCGAGATGTTTGTTTATCCTATTGGTAACATATTTAAAACGAGATCATGTTTTCATCAAACAATCGGCCTGCCTATGGGACCCAACTGTCGTCCGCTTCTTGCCGATTTGTTCCTTTATTCAAATGAAGCTGACTTTAAACAGCCGCTTCTCAGGAAGAAAAGAAGTTAGCATTGTCCTTTAACTTCGGTTCACGTAAATATGGATTATGTCTTTCCACGAACTAAGTTAAAGTATGGTGACTATGTTGAACGCATATATCCCATCGAACTTGAAATAAAGGATGCTACAGACACAGTAACGTCTTCCCTTAATATTTATCTAGAAATTGACAATGAAGGTCCGTTAAGAACAAGACTTTACGAAAAATTGGCCTTTTCATCTTCTCAATTGTGAATTTTTCATTTCTATGTAGCAATACTATCAAGAGTAACTGCATATAAAGTATATATATCTCCCTGTTGATACAATACTTCAGAGCTTGCGTTTCCAATCGTAATTTCCTTGAAAGAGAATTGCTGCGTATAAGGAAGCTATTGAACAAAAAGGTCCGATAGGTAAAGTTGAAATCACCCCTTTGGAAGTTTTAGGATTCAATCATTATTATGTTGACCGTTAAGGAATATCAATATTACAGGAGACCTCGGATTTATTTAAAAACATTCCTTCACTTTTTTCGATTGCGACATCACTGAATGATATTATCCCCAAATGTGTATTTACCATGAGGAAGATATGCGGATGGATTCGTCTACCCATTTGGAACACCTGATATCATCATAAGTATGCGATTTTAATATTTTTACTAACTAGTCAAAATTTAATTGAAAATTAAACTGCTTTTGGGAAATGATGATTTCGAATTGTATCGCAAAACAACAACATCAAGAATAAAGAATTAAAATCAAAATGCTCTTAAACAGTAACCGAACTTTAGTTAAACATATTTTTATTAAAATCTTTTATTTATTTCAATACAAGTTATGAAAGTCTTCGACAAGAAAATGGTGACACTGAATTAGGTTGGTATTTAAAAGATGCAATATATTCAAAAGATGATAAAAATAGTATGTTATCAAAGCTTTTACATTTGTGTAGTCATAAGGTCAATAATATCTAAAAAGTCATTGACAAATTTTGCATTGACATAAGCTTCCGTCTTGTACTTGTATGAAATCATGCAATCACTGATTTAGTTAGATAATTTTCGTTAAAAATTAATCTTTAATAAGTAATTTTGTATAGATTACTCGCACTGAAGGTCGTTCTAATAACATAAACAGTACCAAATATATTGCATAATATACAAAATTTTAATTTGATTTCTTTTCAGTGATGCTTGAGGCCACACTATTTTAAATCTAAAACCAAATGCATATGTTGAATAGCTAAGAAAAAAGGACCGATATAATATCAAAACTAAGACACCAAGAAAATAAAAGGAAAACATATTTTCTTTTTTTTTTATCTAAATTTTCTTATACTTCCATTTTATGGATACATGTAACATACGTAGAGGGTTACCAAAATACAATTAAAAAATAGTAATTAAAAAAGTAACATCACGACCGACAATGCCATGGTCAAAAGAAATAAAACAAAAAGATAAACAGTGGTTCACAACATATTATCATTAGAAATTCCAACAAATCGTTGGTTAACGCAGGTGATATAGATTGGTAAACAAATTATACCAAACTAGTGTAATCCATCGTCGTGCTAATGACAAATACAGATGATGATCATATTTGGGACAAAGAGGATAGCAATGTGGTTTTAAGCAAAAGAAATACTTTTTTATTATTCACTTTGTTTAACATCGCCGAAATTGTTGTTTTTATATTTAAATCGTTGATAATTTTAGATTATGTAAACAGACCGGGATTATGCAGGTAAGTTGGTCTTAATATTGTACTCTGAGAACTGTGATTATTGCAACACGAACCTTATTTTGACTGAGAGTAGAAATAATGGACGAAACCCTCTTCTTTTGTCACTAGTCCTTGTTGTTAACATTCAATCATTAATGCAAACAACATTTCCTTTAGCTTTTCTACATATGAATACATGGTTTGATAATTTTGTCTCATACTATAGCCCGAATTATACCAAAGCAGGCAGCAAAAGGGTATTTTTAAGGTTATTATTCCTTTTATAGCTTGTTCTTCATATGTATGTAGGTCCAGTTTACAAATAGTTTCCCTGGTATCGTTTCTAAAGGTGGATGTAATACTAACTCTTGCATTCACTATACCTATATTGCTCACTAATTTTTTGGGTACATACTTTTTTCTACCTCAGGAATAGATTACCTTAGTTGTATTTGGCAACACTTTTAGGAATTTTTGGTCCTCAATGCTCTTCAACTTCGTACCTTAATTGGCATTTTTAACCTTTTTTGATTCGAGCGTCACTGATGAGTCTTTTGTAGACGAAACGCGCGTCTGGCGCAAATACAAAATTTTAATCCTGGTATCTATGATGAGTTTATTTTAAACAGCGTTCATGTCTTGAAGCTTTAATTTATGTGTGTCGTATTTAACAATGTGTTATGATCGAAAAAATCTATGTTTTAAGGACAAATAAACCATGACAGGACACTTTCGAATATCTTTGAAAATTGCTTATTTAGTTTTGAAATTTAAATGATATATTTCCGTTGTTACGGAATGCCTTTTGTATTTAAACGTAACATATACAATTTAAACACGTGCATTTTCAGAAATGTTGATGAACACAAATATGAAGATTTCACTCCTCAGAGAACAGGTATATATAATAAATGTGTTTGGTAAGTACAAGTGTTGAAACCTAATTTTGTTAAAATGTTTGAGCTTGCTCTAATCAGATCGATGAATTCAAATAGCTGTTAACTTATAATAATCCGGTAACAACAGGGTATAACTCATTTTCTACGGAGAAGTTATCAGTTCAAGCTCTACTGGAGACTTCATTTGTAAAAGATTTATACGTTATGGTTGGCAATAAAACACCATACATGTACAAAGGTGAATGGGTATCTATATCTTTGTGTTTAATCCTTATATATGTACAAACTTGTAAACCATCTCTACCTGTAAAGTCGAAAAAAATAATATATAATGATGACCCTTAAAAAGAAGAAAAGAACACAGAAATGAAATTGATAATCATTTTAAACCTCGAATAAACCGGGATGACCTCAGGAAATCCGGCAGGAAAACACTACTTAAATCACTGGTTGCGCATTTTGCAAAAAAAACTTCAGTCAAATCTCATCTTACAGACAATTTGATTGATTAGGATAATTGCAATAAAAGTTTCGAACTTGAATACAAACTTGTGTTGTGGCCATATAAACGTTCGAGTAATGTTTGTTTCTTTTCCATTTTAATACACATAAGATACAGCAGATATTCGATGTGATCAAAGGTAAGTAGCATATTGTAGATCAACGCAATTAGAAAGGTATACAAATCAAAGAGAAATAAATTGAGAAAAATGTTGAGATAATAAATTATGTAGTAGCAAAACAAAGTTCTAAATGTGTTAGATTTGGTATTGTTTCTAAACACCGTAATAGGTATATATGTACACAAATGTACAAACAAATAGTGGGTTTAAATCATTTAAAATAAAATGTTCCTAGGAAGACATTAAACGAATTATAATACATAATTACTCCAAATCGTGACAGCGACCTCGATAAGATAACAAAAACTAGTGGCATTTTCAAACAGTTATACAGATAACGCAGTTTCACTGCATTTATATCACCTAGTTAATACGATATACAGGGCTTGCGTTTCTCAAAAGAAAGATATTTTACCAAGTGTTCTTAGTAAATGGTGATGTTGAAATTATACCATTCAAAGTTTAACGGACACCACCAAGTTTTGGTCGATCGTTTTAAAATAGTTCTCGTAACAATTTTTGTAGCTGTTTTTTAAAAGGAACAAAAACATTGTTTACAAACAAAAATTGATTTGTATTCGGCTCGAAACAGGATAAATTAGAGTAAGAATTTAGTACTTGCCTAAATTTGTAGGCCAACGACTCTTCAAACAGTTTTTTTTAACAAATTACAGATGGATATCCGTAATTCTTTTTTGGCAATGCCAGAAAACAACAACTCCTCTGTATATCATCTAATAATACGGTTGAGTGAACGACTGAAAAGTGTTTTCTAAAATTCAAAGTGCAGACATCTTATACGTTCAGGTTTTTCACATCCCATCTTTTATGGTAATATTCTATACGAAGCACAAAAATGTCGTCATTCAACTCAAAAGCTAACCAAACCTTTAAACAGACTTATTCACAAGGGACATAGTAACGATACTGTTGTCGAGTCATTAAAGCTGTCATTGGTTGGAATTAATATTGATTCACTCATAGGTTCTTTACATCGGAAATAAACACTATTTTAAAACCGTTGTTTGCATGATACAGGTTATGTTCTTCTTGTATAATTATTGATGGCATGATACTTAACCCCTAACGAGAGGAATTGTGCTTAATTTTCATATGATAAAGACATAATGTTTGATCAGTATAATTGAGATCTGGATCTGGCATGTCAGTAACTGCTGATACTTCTTTGCTAATTCATGTTGATCATTGTCATTTTGCTTATTTTCTTTTGCAACCTATTCTAACATTGGACTCGGACTTCTTTTAAACTGAGTTTTACTGTGCGTATTGCCTAGTGTTTGTTTATTCCACATTGGCTAGAAGTATAAGGGGGGGGGGGGGCACAAGGGACATAGTAACGGGGGGGGGGGGGGGGTGTTGAGATTTCAAAAAACATGTTTAACCCATCTGCATTTGTGCGCCTGTCCCAAGTCAGGGACCCCTAGCCTTTGATAGTCTTGTGTGATTTCTTTTTTATTTTGGTTCATTTATATGATTTGGAGTTTAGTGTAGCGTCCATTTTGCTGCACCAGTATTTATTATTGTTTAGGAGCCAGCTGAAGCCCGCCTCCGAATGCGGGATTTTTTTTGCTGTGACTTATTGGTGGCCTTGGGCTGTTCTTGGATCTTTGGTCGGGAAGTTGTCTCTTTGATACATTCCCTGTTACCGTTATAAACTCTATAAAGTAAAAACATTGCAAACCTATTATATGACCAAACCTTAAATGCAAGACATACAGGACGAGCATCTATACAGATTCCGCTGACCTAAAACATTCCACAGTTTGTTTTAGCATTAAGGCCATCACAAATACTGTATTCATTTCAAAGAAGCCGTCGCTCTAAGGAGTCAATACATTTAACGACTCGAATTAAAAGTATTTCAAATTTATTTGAAAAGGAATGCCACCAATGACGATTCCTCGACTCTGCTTAGTAGTGGTTTCTCGGAAATCGTCGAACAAAGTAAGTACACGTAAGCACATTTTCTTTTGCATTTGAAGTAGTTCTCAATGTTACAAATATTCTATTGTATTTAGATGTTTTTCTGATAGTCTCGTGGAAAAATAATTCATTTTTGGGTTTTTCCCGAATACTTTTATGTAGATGACTAAGATTTTTTTCGGAAAAGTTTTTGAATCACTTGATAAGCAGGTTTCGCACTTTCTTTTTACCAATGAATCATATTTCTATTACAGATAGAGAAGATACAGAAAGGTAAAAACAGTTTGTCAAGCATAAAAACAAATGTTTCATGCCATATGAAGTTTTATCGTTTAACCAGACAGCTATCAGAAAAATACTAATAATATGTTTTAATGAATAAGCTAGTCAAGTAGCGAGAAAACGAGTCTGTTCTGTCACATGTATCAGAACAAACAGCTTAAAGTCAAGCATTTCGAATGTTTTCACCTATGGAGAAAATAAACATTTTTAATATTTGTCCCACTCAAAAGACATAAACAATTCGAAAGTATTGTTTCATAGTGTTATTTTAGATCAACTGTAGGATAATATGACCTCTTCTTCAAATATAATATTATTCAATTTATATAGAGCAAGTTACATGGAGTATGTTTTAGGACAACATAAAGTTTGTGTGTGTGTGTTGATTTTAATTTGATAAATTATCGTAATTAAAGGTATGAAAAATTTCGTATTCCTTCAAAACATTTACATAATTTTAGTAATATTAATGAAAGGGAATCTGTGATATAGGTCAACGAGGCAACAACTACACGACACAAACATTCAAAGTTTTTGAAAAGTCTTTATTTAGTAAATAGTGTTATCTTATCGGAATGCAATTAACATATTTAAATAATACACAATTATGGCCCGTAGAGAAGGTGAATATCCACAATTGTCAACACAAAAAGGTTATTTGACTGAGGGCGCAGCCAGAAGTGAAATATTTTTTTAGGGTTGACAATTTTGGATATTCATCGCTTCTAAGGAGCCACAATTGCTTTACTATACCGAACTAACAGTGGAAAGGCCTTTTGAAACATTGAAAATACACTTTCCTTACTGTATCGTAACAAACACAAGTAAACGTTCAAAATAAATTGTGTCTTAGAATTTTTCGTATGTAAAACAAAGGTAGAATCTTTTTGCAAAATATTGATGGCCCTGAAAAGCACCGTTTATAAGAGATGTCCTTGGCACTAGATGCATTTCCAAAGACTTTTTTCCTGGTCACTTGATTACCTTCCTGTAGGCCTAACTTGAACGTTGCCATTTTGTTTACTTACGTCTGTGACGTCATTTTCATGGGAGATAACTCGGGTACAAATCAAGAAACTCACAAGGTTATTCATCCATGAATAATAGGGTTATTCACCGCTGGTGTAGATTTTAAGGGTTATTTCTCCTTCCTTGCAATTTAATGAAAATTAACTGAATTGTTTCATGTCACGTGATAACATGTTACCCAATATAATTGTTTATAATATATGTAAGGTATAGTAATACAACATAATCACCGCTTGGGAATGTAATAACCAGGATTTCCAAACATTTCAAAGGTAATTTGTAATAGGACTATGTAATCCGGAAAAGCGTTCATAAGAGATCACCCCCAGTTTGGTGGGGTTCGTGTTGCCTAGTCTTTAGTTTTCTATGTTGTGTATTCTGTACTATTATTTGTCTGTTTGTCTTTTTATTTTTTGCCATGACGTTGTCAGTTTGTTTTCGATCTATGAGTTTGACTGTCCCTCTGGTATCTTTCGTCCTTCTTTTATAAATTATGCAAAAGGTAGTCAACAATGTTACCTGTGATATCTTTTTGAGTGTATAAAAGTATAAGAGTTATTTATACAGGCTCTCTAAATTTTGTATCCCTGAAAATGACCAACAGATAAAAGGAGGTATGGGATTGTAGCTGATAGCTTATTTGCCATTACTATAAAGACTATATTACATCTTATTAACTTTTTTACAGCTTCCTTAATATTGGTTCTTCCGAAACAGGTAATTTACATTTTTTTCAAATTAAACTTAGTTTTATGCATTGTGAGACTTTATCTTTATGATCGAAGTATAGAAAAACATTAGTTATAAAGCATATGTCATGGTATTAGAGGTGTTAACAAATTAAAAGTCACCCAAAAAATTTATAAATGCAATGAGAAAGATCAAATCAAAAGCATCAACGTTTTTTTTTCGCCAGTTTTGTTTATGATTATTCAAAGAATAAAGATAAAGTAAAGTAATATCTCTCTTTTTTGAATAATTTAATATATTTCATTATCTAAATGCATTTTAGATATGGACATGGACTCAGCTGCACACAGGTAAACTATTTTTTTCACGAATGAGGAATACATCAGACTCTATGTTGTTTAAGTTATCATAAGAAAACCCTTAAACATGCTGAAAATACAACAACAGAATATAATAAAAATCATACAGAAAAAGAAATAAAATAAAGTTAACCCAATCTTTAAACTAGAAAAGTTTAAGATACAATTTATATGCTGTTATCCTGATCATAATTTCAACACAAAACACTTATTTATCAAAAGTTCTGATGAAAAATGAAATTAGTGTTATGATGATGCGGGCTGTATGATGTTTTACTTTGTTCGTCTGTCTGTCTGTTCGTTCGCCCCTGCTTTTGTCAACTAATTTATTAACGAAAACTCCTAATAGAATGAAAAGAACGTTGATAACATTTTGTAGAGTTATTGTGCAAATTGTGTAGATGTGCCTTTTTTTGGTGCAAATTAAAAAAAAAAAAGAACAAAATATATGAGAAATATCTTATCTAACGAAAGATATTAAAAAGTTTGAGTAGATTGTCACAAGGAGAACTTCTGTGTACGGTTGTTGCACTTTGATAATGTTTCGTGAAATTTGGACAATTTTTTTGAAAAAAAAACTTAGTGGTTAAAAATCACTAATTTTTAGAAAGAAATTTCGTGATCATATAGAAAAAAAAAAGAAAAAAATTGCACTGGAACATGTTTGGAACGCAAACTTGAACAAGTGTTGTGGTTTATATGTAGATTTGCAAATTAGTATTGTTCTAAAAATTGGAAAAAATAAATTGCGGCAAAAACTTAGTTCACAGATTTGAAAAATATCTGTTTGCACTTAGAAATGTATTATATTCTAAATTGATTCCCCAAATTGATTTTTTTAAATGGCCACCTATATACCCAAACATACATAGTGTTTTTTTTCCAGTTTTCCAGTTTATTGTATTTCGAATAAACTGATGACAAAATTTAAAACCACTAATCCGATACTCAATAGACATAACAACTTTTATTAATGGGTAACCCTTTTTAATAGAAAGATGACCTCGAACTCTTCAATAAAAACATTACCAAAAATTTGTTTTACTAATAGAAATCAATAGATCAAATGTTTCATAATTAACGATATTTTTTATGATTCCAATAACAAGGTATGAAAGTCTTCAACAAAGATACGATGCTTCTGAATTATGTAAGTATAATCTAAATAAAAGTCAATTATAAAAGTACCAAAGGGACATTAAAACTCATAAGTCAAACACATAGAGACAACGGCATGACAAAAACAAAAAGAAAAAGACCAAAACAAAACAACAGAACACAAAACACAACATAGAAAAAAAAAACGTGAGCAACACGAACCCCACAAATTCCGGGATGATCTCAGGTGATCCGAAAGTGTAAGCAGATATTGCTCTACTTGTGGCTACCACCATGTTGCTTATATAAGTAAAATCCCAGTAACAAGTTTAATTCGGTAGGTCACATTTGGGGAAAAGAGGACAGGATTGTAGTTATTAAAGATGCGAAAAAGTATGTCATCAAAACATGTTACGTTTTTTGCTACTATACGAGGAAATATCACATGTCACGTTTAAATCAATTTAAAAATTTGATTGAAAACATCTGTTTTACCATCATGACCATCCGTTATGGCAGCATACGCTATAAATTCATAACTTTGTGATACCATACGGCATGATTTGTTAATAATGACCAAAAAGGTAAAACATGCTACACAGAGGAACAAGTGATCTGTATGTTGGAGTTTCTGATTAACAACATATTTGTTGAATTTGGAGGTACACTGTTTCAACAAATTGTCGGCATTCCTATGGGAACGAACTGTGCACATCTCCTTGCCGACCTCTTCTTATTTTCATATAAGTCGGAGTTCCTTCAGACACTTGTCAAAAACAACTAGACCAAAGAAGCCAGATCATTTCACATTCAGATATATTGATGATGTTCTGTCCATTAACAATCCAAACTTTTCTGAATGGGTTCCATTAATATATCCTCCATAACTACAAATTAAAGAAATAACAGGCACGGCTTCTCCCGCCTTATTTTTAGACTTATTCCTCGAAATAACATGAGCGGTCATTTAAGTACCAGAATCTATTACAAACAAGACGATTTTAATTTTAAAATCATCAATTTCCTCCACCTTAGTAGCAGTATACCAACTTCACCTGCATATGGGATATACATTTCCAAACTCATTCGGTATTCAACAGCTTGCAGCTACTACTCAGACCGTATTGAACGTCACCAGTGTCTGAGCAGAAAGTTGATGAACCAGGGTTATGTTAAAGAACGTCTCGTCCTTTTTTTCTAAAATAGTTCATCGGACGATACCAAGACCTTGTTGATAAATATTCCGTATCAACTTCACAAATAATACATAATATGGTCTTTAAGTATAGATTCTAGGTACTGACGTTGTTTGTCATCTACATTATGTTTTGTAGTGTTCTTTTATTTTTGTATTTTGTAAATTTTTAACCTTTACTGTATAGTCCATTTTGGATAATATCCTTTTTGCGTGGCTCGGTACTTATACATCCCGCCATTGTGTTATTGTGCTATGGTCATTTTTTTTAATTCTTGTCTTTCATTTTTGCCTATGTTCTTTGTCTATATGCCATTTTGTTTTTCTTTGATGACATATTTATTTGTTTTTAAAGTGATTAAGATTATAACACAATGTTGACTGCTGTACCCCTATGTTTGACATTTTTGCCTATTATGTCTGTTTGTTTTGTTTACATACTGTTGTCAATATTTTCTACATAAAGAAATGTCTGTCCAAGTCAGGAATATGACAGTTGTTTTCCATTCGTTTGATGTGTCTGAGCTTTTGATTTTGCTATTTGATAAGGACTTTCCGTTTTGAACTTTTCTTGGAGTTCGGTAGTTTTGTTATTTTACTTTTTACTTGTCTGAAATCTAGTTATCAATGATTTTATGAGATATATTTCGATTCGATAAAACATAAAAAGAAAAACAGCCATCGACAAAATATAACATGTACAACTTAAGATTGATTAGATAAATACCACTATTTTAACTAAGATGATCAGGAATGGTAGAAAATTTATACACTACTAGTGGCAGATAATTAAGACGATCATGATTGACACATATGACGAGATTTAGATTTAAACAAAAGACACATAAAAGTTTACAAAGAAGCTACTTTATTCCAAATCGATGAGATTTGTGACTTTATATTTAAATGTTGACAATTTTAGATGAGGTAAACAGACCTGGAATAAGCAGGTAAAATTAAAACATAACTTACACGTAAGCGTCGTGATTATAAACTATTGCAGTTTGTGAATAAAACAACTGAGATGTCTTTTCCAATTAACTAGCTAATGGTGTATACTTTAAATATTTAAAGACAAATTCATTGCTTCTATAATTTTCATGTGCAAAGAGCTGTTATTTATACTTTGTCGAACTTAATGTTTCAAAGGAAAACCAGCTGGTTTTCAGACTGTGGTTCATTTATATCTCATTTTGTACAGTTTACGGAAACATATGATTATTGACCAATGCGACGTGGCTTTAACGGTAAGATATACTTCTACAAACGCTACAAACACATTGAGCATTTTTTGGGACTTTGTGAAACTGCGTTCATGTCTTCAAGTACGGTCGTTCACTATAACTAATATATTAGTTATATAAATTGACTTCAATGGACAAAACTAATATTTTATGGACACTGAATAATCACAAGTATAAACTTCTTCTGATGAATCATGAGGGTCGTGTACAAATTCAACATTGCAGTAATCGGTCATATTGTTGATATTTTTAATCAATATAAACCAAATGTCGACATTTGAGAAACTGAACTCTTGGATTATATATTTTGTATTAGCTTAGTCTATGGTGTGTTAAATTTTGACGCATGATGTTAAAAATATAAAAAATAGTTTTTTATCATTAAAAATTTTGATATTCGATTTTTTAAGCATACTGTTTAAACTCTATGAATGTTTTCTATTATGAAAAAATCAAAGAATTTCAATTGATTTCTTTACGTTTTCATCAGTATAGAATTTGTTTTTTTGTTTAGAATTTGGTATTTGTAAAAACAGTTGGTCGTCTTTATTGAAGTAATTGAATAAATGTCCTAACTCAGAACTATTGGTTGAAGTCAAATTGATACCTTTACTACGTATTTGGAAGTACCAATTAAGACTATCGGTCCAAGTGTTATTCGTTGCTGTTTGTTGTTGTTTTTACGTCTAATAGTAGGGACGTAGTCGTGTGATGGTAGTTGGAGTGGTCTTTTATACTGTTCAATATGTTTTGTATTCTCTATTATCCTTTTCATTATTTTTCTGCATCAAGGATACTATACTAGAAGGTATGTTTCATATCTAGATTCTCAGATTATGAATTCTGTTGTCCACTTTCAATCTCGCAGTAGTAACATACTTTCTACCACTTCATATTGCATTTACATACATGTATCTCAATTGTTACGTCACTCGCATACAGGTTCGTACTTTACGGATATGATTTTTCAGGATAAGCTCTTAAGGGAAATACTGCTTCAGATGCTTCTGAAGTTTAACAGACACCAACACGAACCACATGACCCTTACGACATTTATGTTTCTTATCTCACAGGATACATGTTTTTTGCGATCTTAGATCTTTTCGACAATTATTGTCTCTTAAAAGATGATCGAGGCCAAAATATTTGAAAATACAAAACCTTAAACAAACATTGAAGAGCTGAAAAAACCAAAAAGAACTTAGGGTATAACCAAATCCGAACAAGAAATCATAGTTTATCATGAATAAGACATATTCTTCTATTTAGAATGATTTCCAAAATTTTATAACCGTAAATTTCAACAGTACAGACTACTTGGCTGGTGATTACCTTGTGTCCTAAAGGCAAAAATCGTCTTATCTGCACATTTATCAATTGTGTTCTATTTCCTAACTTTACATTTTGACTCCGTCTTGATTTTCTTGGAACGTTATGAATAGACAGCATGAAATATTGTCTGCTTAATACGACGAATAAGGAGAGAAGACAAATGATTGCAAACAAATACAGCAAAATTGTCGTGAAGATAGGAAAAGAAAAAAAGATTTTTTGTTTTAAATTTTACAGCTTATACTGTTAAGTTCTCAGGGATGCCAATCTTTATGTTATTTCGTAATTTCTTATATGGATTTGGATTCAAAATTACTGGTATCTCATTTATAGCTCTGGGAATACATCCAACTGCTGAAATCGTTTTTCTGATAACTGCTTGCTAGTAAAGGATATTTGTGTGTATTAAAATAGCCGAAATTCATTTGCCTTAAAATAGATTATTCTTTTAAGGAATATTGTAAACGTTGGTGGAGATGAACACAAGTGTGAAGACCTTACCCCGTCAAGAACAGGTATAAACATATATTTGTTCAATTGTAAAGCTATTGAAACCCTATTCTGTTACACACTTTGAACTTACGTCAGTCTATATGATTTATTACAAAGATAATTACATTCGATGACAATATGTACGCACTTTAAAGAGATAACATATAAATAATGTGATAGAAAGCTATCCTGCTTTGTACAAGACGGTCATATTTGTTTTGACTCAAGGAGGTTACGAGATGCACGTAGAGTCCGCAGCAAGTCATTTCACCCTTCTCGATACATTATTCTGATTCCTAGCTGACCAGTCTTTCACCTTTCTTTAAAATCGTGCTTGTTTTGCGAAAAAAAATCAGAAATCAAAGTTTGAGTTTTTTGGTTAAATTCGATAGGGGATAAAACCCCCGTTCTCAAGTTCTAGAGATGATGATGCTACCACGAACTACTGACGGCTTAAAATAAGTAAGAAACACGAATCGCTTCAAAACCGATTGGTGACCTAATGTGTTTCAGAAAGATGAGTACTATATGATAAACTAGAAGCAAGTACAAATTCGGGGATAAATCACATTCGACGAAGTTATGTTCCTGAAGTTTTAGCATGAAGTATATTAGAAGTATAATTGTGAAAATTAAAAAGGCTTAATTTTTCTTTCTGCAGATGTTGTTATTTGAGATATTTTGTTGAATTTTCCAGTGTAGAACATAAGTTTTTATAATTATATAACAATACATTTTCAAATATGTTTTAATTTATCTCTGTTCAAATCAAAACAAAATATTTGATTTGATCATAAATCCGGTGTAAAACTCTAATAAATCAAAATTTTTTTCGCCCTTTGTACTTATACAGCTAGACGTCACATGTACGTATCCGGTTTAAAAGTAAACAGCACAATTTTAAAGATTTTGGACGCTTTAAAACTGAATACATGTTGACAAAAAGAATATTTGCAGATTACATTTACGACTATCTTGTATTAATCTTATAACAATGAATTAAAAAAAAACCCCGTTGTAAAAGAGATGTCATTTCTAATTTCCATGGATTTGAATATTTACTCAACTGACACGGTTACTATATACTTTCACAGTATAGTCGCAATCATTTGTATATATTCTGAGTCGAAAAAGTTTGATGCCAAAAAATGTTTGTACTGAAGCTAAATGAGAAATTATAAACTTTGCAGAGTTAAGACATTATCAGTACTATGCCGCGTATATACATTTTATTTTAGTTAGTTTGAAACAAAACAGTGGTACTCGACAAGCCCTGCATTTGCTACTTGTTTCTATGCAAAATTTCAAAAGTTTGTCACACCAAAGTTATGGTTATACCATATGTATTGTGTTACACACAAATTGTATCCCATTGTTTGTGCTACTGTTGTGCCTAATGAAACAAGTATGGAATTCACAATTTCATCTTCTAAGGCATGGGGAACAAATAAGTCGTATCAAATTTTATAAGCTGTGAATTTTTAAAAATGCATACATGAACAAAATTATTTCAATCCATGATTTATTCCTATATCTAATTTCAGACTTGCAGAATGAGATGAATGATACGACTAGAAGAGAAATCTATGAAAATACAGACTTCGTCAAATAATTATATCTGATTAAGATTATCTTAGGTTTAATATTGTAAAATTCTCTTATAAAATAAAAATAACACATTATAAGTTGTGTGCTGTCTAGCTAATTTACCTTAATTTGGAATTCTCAACCCTTTAGCATTGAAAGGCACGGATGTACCATTATAAGTGCTTGAAGGACCATCATGTATATGACCAAAGTGTCGTAAGAAGCATAAGTAAAACAACGCTCACAAGATATTAAAAGAGAGGCGAAAGATACTAAAGGGATATTCAAACTCATAAGTCGAAAACAAACTGACAAAACCATGGTTAAAAAAGAAAAAGACAAAATACAACAGTACACAATACACAACATAAAAAACTAAAGAGTGAGCAACACGTTCCGCATCAAAAACTGGGGGTGATCTCAGGTGTGCCAAAAGGGTAAGCAGACTCTGTTCTACATGTTGCACCCGTCGTTGTGCTCATGTTAGTACAAACCCGGTGATAAGTCTAATTTAGTAGGTCACATTCGAGGAAAAGGAGGCGGGATTGTAGCTACGACAATTGGAATTAAAACATTGTCAGCTGAACGGCCTACTTAAACTTTTCCCCGTAACATCAAAAGCAATTCATCAGATGTCATCCTGTTTCCAATTAAATCATACTCAGATTAGTTTACCCTTAATATAATTCATTTACAAAAAAAACTTTCACAAATTTTAGTTATTTTTTAAAACCAACTAATAAGTAAAAACCAAAACATAGTTCCGATCGCACAATATATTTTCCTCCATGATAGCACATTCCACTTTTCTCAATTGTGACATCCCTAATACCTACTGTAACGTATGCCGTTCAAATTTTAACCCCCCACAATACTCAAATATATCTTTTCAGAAATGCATTTTAGATTTTCCTATATATTTTATATGCACAGTAAGGTTGAGAACAATGCTAGACATTAAGACAAAATGGATATCTGGAAAGACATATGTCCTAAATGAGTTTATGGTTTTAAGGCAGTCAGCTCTGACAAATTTACAGAGAGGACACTAAATCTATCTAGATTTTGTTTCGAATTGCAATTTATCTATATTTCATCTGGGTATTGAAACGATTATATAATTCGTATATGCCATATTCTACACGATAAGATACTCTTTGGATAAACTAAATGATGACGTTTTATAATTTATCGATCTGACTTTGCATTTCATTCAATGAAAATGTAAATGATATGTATAACCTACATTTTTCAGAAATCGAGCAAGTTGGATAATGACACTTTGCCCATCTTAAAAAACCTCACTTTACACCAAACTATCAAGTCAATTTAATTTCTTTTCAATGTTGACTATATATTCAGTATTCATTTGGTATCCTTTGCCTTCCATTTACATACATTAATATTTAAGTACTTATTTCTTTGCTACAATGTTTTGTTGACCACATGGCTGTTCGTTTTATTTGCATTTGATCCTACTGCACCACCAATAATCATATTATAGGCACATTAAATCAGTAAACCAACTAGTAATTAACTCAAAATACATGTACCCGAAACTTTTTACACATATTTTCAATATATATTATCAAGGGTTTTTGAATTTTATTATATTCGTGTTATGTTATACTTTTTACATTTTAAATGATATGAATGTACTCTTTGCTTATTTCGAAAACAAAACATAAGACCATGATAACATGGTATAAAATTCAGTATTATATCGATATAGAAATACAAACACTAACATTCTTAGTATACACGTATTAAACATATGACAAAAGAAAAGAAGAACTTAAAAAAAAAGGAAAAGATGTTGCTCTCAACATTGTGAACAGTAACATTTATTATGATATCACATTATATGGATTATTTCTTGAGTTAAAATACACATAAGGTACATAATGTTATGTTCAGTTTTTTTGAGAAAAAAATAGGTGACAACGCGAAACATAGTAGAGGAAATTAAACTATCCACTCTAAATCATTCATTAAGAAGACACAGTTGTTGCTACTCATCAATAAAGATTACGCTTTAAACAATATAGCAAATAAACTTTGCATATACACATACATATTTGTTTCCGGATGACCTATTTAAACCTGGGTTTATAATTAACTCTGACGTATCATATTAAAATGCGACCAACATACGATTGAGACTTATTCGATTTATTACAAAATAGCTAAAACTTTCATATCACCATGATTTTCGTCGTAACACACGTTTGCTTTTTTTCCTATCTTTATAATATACGCGGTTTTCTATCACCTTTAGAGCCTGTTTGAACATAAGTCGTCAAATGAATATCACGCCAATTTCAACTGAAACTATCATAACATAATTATAAAATAACAGCTACAATTGTGAATTACTTCATCCATATTGCAAAATTATCACAATAAAGTTAAATAAAACAGATGTAAGGTTGAACATTTATCGTTTTATTATTCTGAACCAAACGCAAAAATCAATACAAAAAAAATCATGACTGTCGCTACCGTGCATTAAGTCGACAAATAATTTCAGGCTAATTTTGAAAGCCATTATATTGATTGATCTGTTTCAAATCAATGTTTGGGTTTTCATTATAGCCTGAATTTGTTGTTATTCTTAATAATTTAATATGAAAAACAGCTTTGACTGAATATACATCCACAAATACAGATTCCATTTGTTGGTGAATTCTGTCATTTTTAAGCAGAAGGCTTAGTTTTGTACCCTATTGGATTTGACATACGACGATTAGCCGAGATGTTTCACGTTTAAGGTCAAATCAGAAGGACATGTGAACCAATATAAGAAGTTGAATTATTAGTTTAGACGTTAGTCGTTGAATTTAGAATTCAATTGCTAAAATTGCATATCCTGATGTGAATCTCGATTCAAAAAAACAAATTGGTATGACATATGCTATTTCAAAATATGATTGCGTAAGCGCATAAATCGAAAATGTGTTACATTTTTCAGTAATTCAGTACTTTTTTTACTTTCTTGTAAAGTGTCATCTATATGCTAAGTGTGTTTATTATAGGTAATTTTGTAACTAAATATTTGATGTTGTAGACAATTGTTTTTCTTCCTTAAAAAATACATTTTTATTAAAGTTTACTTAAGATATGCTAATTCTTCATTAGGTTTAGTTAAATGTTACAATCACCATTTCAATCCCTTTTGCTAAAATGTCTGCTTGAGTTCATGTTTTTATTCAATTTCAAACATTGGTAAACTTATATAACCTCTTCTTTAAAGAAAACGTTAAGCACATGCGTTATAACATGATATTTGACAAGTTACACAGATTTCAGATTTCATTTCCGTCAGTATTGACTTTGAAGTGTATTTATAGAAACAGACATTTATTAGAATCTTCCGGATTTTCTTTTAGTTTTTCGTACACTCTTATGATTTGGAATGTCATTTTATTGTTTTGATTAACAATTATATCAAAGGTGGATGTCGATAAATTATCATTTATAAAGATGAATAACACAGTAGTTCTGAAAGTGAGACGCGGAAATAAATGTTATAAACATTATACTTCTATAAAGTAATTATATCAAATTAAACCGACTTCTTTCGATACCTTATTAGATAATAAGATACTTGTTATATGGGGAAATACTTAAAAAAAATATATGATATCTAGTTACACCTTAGTATTGTATTCAACGTCGATGTAATAAACATGTATGAAGGCTTTAGGTATTGTAAATCTATACCAACAAGGGCTTTCTTGTCTGCCATATCTAATGCAATATGATATATACATTACCTTAACTTCAATTGGATAACTTCTGTCGGTTGCTGGTCGGGGTCATTGGCAATAGGATGCATAATCACGGTTGATGATTCTGTGATAATTCAAATGTTTTATTTGAACATTTTACTAGCATTGCACAAAAATTGGAATAACAGTACTTTGTTTAAAGCGATATTACCATCATTTTTTTATCAAACGGTAAAAAATATCTTCTCCAAGACGCCAGTAAATCTGCTTTATGACAGTCAAATTCAGAATTGACGCTAATAATTATTCAAACACAATACTGTTATTCCTAAATAATTACGTCTTTCTGAATGAAAATATGTTCCGTTCTTAAAATTACTGTATAAAAACGTCAAAATTTCCATTTATCCTTCATCTACCATATCATAACCTATTTGCAAGTTTATTTCCTGACTTTTTTTCTATAACAGTTAATAACAAGACATAAATAGGTACTCCAAAAATGTTATTTTTCATTACTTTTACATCGTGTTATTCAGATTGCATATTGCCATATGTTTGAGGAAACATTTCTGTGATGTTTCTACAATTGTTACTTGATGCATCTTTCTTTGTTGTTGTAACAAGTATGTTTTTGGTACTGCTTTAACTATATCGACATCCTCCCTATATCAACTTATGTAAGAAAAGTTCAAGTGCAAAGAAAACGTAGAAGACTGTGAGACTGGCATCCTAAAGCAAGAAGAAATTAAATAAACACAAGCTATTTTTGTCAATGATTGACGATCCCTGAAATTAAACAAATGCGACAATTGTCAATCGTGACAACATCAACTAAAACATTGATTATTAAACGAAAATGATTGACGATTAAAAAAATCATTTTGATAATATTTTAGAAAAATTTCGTTTAAAAAAACAGCAGCTCACATTTTTATTCATCTTCATGTAGATGTAAATTTTACTCTAAACAATTATAGAACTTAATTAATTTACAGACCCATTGGAATTCTATCACGACAAATTTATCGACTAATATTTGGGTTACCTAATGAAATCCGCGAACGTATAAAAGTATTTAACTGTAAGCAGTTTTCAATATTTAAAAAATAATTTTTCGTAAGTCAACTTCACGGGAATGAAAGAAATAAAAGGCCTTATTTTTCATTAAAATAAAACACGTAATATCAACTTCCGGGACGTAAATGAAAATATAAACAGAAGTGTTATATTTGAAAACTCAAACAGTCTTTAAAAATGAACATATAAAAGAGATTGTCATTTTAATTCTGTATACACTACATCATAGCAGGTAGGTCACTTATCAACATAGTCTGAAACTAAATTCCTGATTAAAG